TATTTGTGCAAATGTACGATTCGATCTCTCGCAATATGTTCACAATGTCATAACGGAGGTATGCAGAAATAGTAATAGCTCGGTATCTAATTGTACAGATAAATACCCATGCTGTCTTGAACTGAATCTGGACCGTGTGAAGCATATTTGCCACGATGGTATCACGATTGCCGGGATAACAAGTGCAAAGAATTTATTTACGGTGGATGTCAGGGGAATGATAACAATTTTCATACTAGAGCAGATTGCGAAAAAGAATGCGGAGGTAAGCAATGTGCAAATGGAATTTACAGTATCGCAGTTTATAAATACAGATTCCTAACAAAATGATAGAATTCATTTCAGTAATAATTAATTACAGATATATGATAATATTTTAAAATTATAGGTGACTGCTGTTTACCTGTTGATCCTGGTACGTGTAAAGGTTCCATTTCCAGATGGTACTTCGACTGTGAAATAAATGAGTGTATAGAGTTCATATACGGAGGATGTGAAGGAAACAACAATAATTTTGAAACGGAAGAAGCGTGTAGACGACATTGCGGTGAGCAACATGTCATCTGTGTACTCGTAATGGCATAGATATTACAAGAATATTAACACACATCACTGCATGTGATTAGTATCACGTGAATATCATTATTATATCTTTTTCCAAAAAAAGATGGACCATGCCCGTGTCCTGAAGGATTTCTGGGGCAAATGTGTTGGTTGAATTGTGACGTTTGTGATGAACATGCATCAACGACGCCAAACTATATTTGTTGCGACGACGGTAGCTGCCCGGCACCAGCATGTCTTGGAGGAGTATACACGCCAGGTAATTGAAATTATAGTATAGATACAACAGCTTAGAGAATATCAGCTGACCTTCGCTTTTCTGTGCTTAGTCGAAACCTGGCTTTAGTCACGTCTTATATGCCTGGATCTGGATGGCTTAAGTTTATGTCCCAGAACTAAATTGACTATAATACCATAGAAATAGAAATCGAGGTACAGTTACCGATCAGCCCGTTGTTGTAATTATAATTGCCTAAAATGGTAAATTGATATGCGAATTGATCGAGAAAATGCCCGCAAATAACATACTACGCGTACGCAATATGTGTAATATATGAAATCTACTACACACTCAAGAGAATATCACCATACAACGTAATATAATAGATATACCATATCCACGGAATTGCAACGCCGTGCTCGGGGATAATCTATCACAAAGTATGCTATTATTCCCCCCCCCAGAGAACCCATATATTCGCCTCCAAAATTATTCTCTCACACAACCTGTACATGAGCGTGTATGGCTGTTTCTGACCTAATCAAACATCTCGATTGCCAGAATCTTTGGACCACATTTCCCACCACCTCAGTACAATATTTTGCCCATGTATATTTTTTTATTTATTTCTAATTTTGGCTCAAATGGACTTAAAAATATTTGAAAATTTAAAGAAATTGCGAATGGTGACACATGTTGACCCTTGCGCTTCAGAGTTAATAATTATAGACACTCGCAATTTTTTTTTAATTTTCACAGAAGGATTTTGTGAGTTGGACTGCGAGTATTACTCGCCAGGAGATGTAGTAAACGAAGATTGTGAAATATGGTAAGAGATTGGTTTTTCTGATTATCTTCGGTTAAAGCGCGGCAGTCGTAGCGCAGCTCATGTGCGATATTTGTGTTGATAATATTTATTTTTCCCACAATCCAATGCGCTCTTCTAATGGAAATCATGAGTACGAGGTTTAACCTGAGCGCGACTT